ACCACTCTCTGAGTAAACAATTTCTTCCTAACACCTAACCTGAATCTTTCCTCTTTTAGCTTCAAGCCATTCCGCCTTGTCCTATCACTATCAGACCGTGTAAAAAGCTGGTCCCCCTCCTTTTTATAATTTCCCTTCAAGTTCTGGAATGCCGCCATGAGGTCTCCTTCGGACCTTCTCCAGGCTGAACAAGCCCAGCTCCTTCAACCTTTCTTTGTAGGAGGGAGAGGTGCTCCAGCCCTCTCATCATCTTCATGGCAACCTCTGGATCTGCTCTAACAGCTCTATCTTTCTTGTGCTGGGGCCTCAGACCTGGATGCAGTACTCCAGATGGGGCCTTACAAGGGCAGAGTAGATGAGGACATTGATCTCTCTCACCCTTGCTGGCCCCCTCCTCTTTTGATGTAGCCCCTTGATTTGTTGGCCACCTGCTTCCTGACATAACCCAGCCTGTGATCTGCCCTGTTTGCAACAAGAACACTGTTTGCCCATATCCAACTTGGCATCCACACTAAGCACTATCCATACAGCAGGGCTGCTGTACACAGCAACCTCTGTTGTACACTCTCATATAAGCAGCTTTCCTGTAATAATAATAATATTAACAGTAATTTGTATTCATTAAGTCATTAAATAGTAAGTCGAGGATCTAAGAAATAAATATTAGACGTAACTTGTGCAAGTTAAATGTCTTGTGTATTTTCTCTGCTCTGGGAGACCTCAGAGGAAGAGGCTACGATAGAGCAATAAAAACTATTTTGGTACTTACATATCAAAGACTGTAACAGTTAAACGTTACAAAATGCATTTGGGCTCCAGAAGGCATTCTTTCAGGCACAGCCTTTGCAGGAAATTGCCTGTTCACAGGGAAGGGGAGGATCTCAGAGGATCACAAGGTGGGATTTCAGTGCGAGAGCCGAAGGGCTCACTGTGATACCTGGCTGCCACAGCAGCCACTTTCTCCAAAGCAGTGAGGTGAAGTGGGTGGCGGTAACCTGGCACTCAGGTCTGCTGGACACTGAGGGACCGAGGAAAACCTGTGACCTGCTAGTGGTGGAGCCAGGCGTGGAGGCCATGTGGTAGGAACAGGAGGCGGACAGACTGCAAAGTCTCTGGCAACTCCAGGACATTCCTCAGGCAGGGGCTGCTACTATTGCTTCAGCAGCAGCTTGGCTCAGCCCTGGGATACTTATGTGGCTCCATGGCTTGGCAGCCTGCCACTGCTTTTCTATTTTTTTTTAAAGAAACGGCCATGAAAGGGAAATGATAGATTCCAAGAGTTTCTTTCAGCAGACTATTGAAGCAAATGAAAAGTTTTCAGGAATTAGCTTGCTTTTATATCTAGTTACTGCCTTGGAAAGTACACTACGTGACATCGAATACAAGCATCACTATCTTGTTCCAAAACAAAACGTGAAAATCACACTACTGAAAGCAACTGAAAGGCTGGTGGGGGAAGGGTGCAAATGGTCCCCCCCAAACAGCGGCTGTGTCTTCTGAGTTGCAGCTAGTATGCACCCCACTGGCAATGCCTGTTAGATGGAAGACATTGCTGATGTACTGGTAATGGAACTCTCCTGCGTTCTGTCAGTTTTGCCACCACACCAAGAGCATGCAACGCAATAAAAATCTGTCATTTGTTGCATGCCATAGCCTTGCAGTTCTCAGGAACTGGAGGCATGGACTCAGGTGTGCTTATGGACACAGCCAGAGAAGCAAACACATCAAAATGCTCAGTCTTGATTAGGCTATTAAGAGCATGGTGTCTGCCACATAGAGAATGTGAGGATTCCTTTTTCCTTGTATCAGGTGGACCCTGAAGACGACGACTCACTGCATCATCAACAATGTTAGATGGAGGTCTCAAGAATGCTTGCAAAGGTGATAGAGGCAATAGAGGCATACTAGAGGAAGCACGGTGTTCCCAATGGGAGGATGGTGACGTAGAAAATGATGACTAGAAATAGTGAATGGGTTTTTGGGTTAAGAGGACTGTTGTGCATGTCAGCAGGGGTATGAAGCCCTCTATGGTAGTGGTTCAAAGGCACATTCTGAAGTTTAGAAAGAAAGGGCTGAGCTCTTGGTGAGTCTGACAAGAAGATTACCAAAGAACACTCTGTTAGTCAGTATCAGCTCTAAGAAACCAAGTAAAACAAGTTCTGTCACAGTCTCCCAACACTGCCGCAGGGTTACCCTCAACAGCTTTAAGTGTTGGATGAACATGCCATAAGAAAAGCAGTAATCATTAGTAGTTGCAGATTTCTTTAGGGTGCCTGAGCAGATTATCTCCTTTTCTGAGGAACTGATCATTGGAAATCACTGCTAAGAACAGTCTTAGCCAGGGTTTTGCTAGCCATCAGTCTGCAATTTACTTGCAGGATCATCTCATCCAAGGCTCTGTCTTTATCTACCTGCCCCAGCTTGAAGGTTTAAGCTTAGTGTAATGTTTTCAGTTTAAGAATGATGTATAGTCCAAGGCCCTGAGTTGTATTAACTAAACTCAGCTCCATTTCTGACTTATTAGTTCTCTGTTCAGATTAAAAAAAAAAAAAAAAAAATCAGAAGCTCATCATTTTCATCTTCTGAACTGCAAAACCTTGTTTTGATCAGTTTTCCAAGGTGATTTTACTGTATCTGCTTCAAACTTTCATTAGTAATCACTGAGCTCCTGACATAAGCTACAGAATACAGGTATGAGAGAAGCATGGGAATTAATCTACTGAGCTGGGGTAATTCTTTCACTTGGGAGCTCACTAACTTGTTATCTACTTGAAAAAGTCATCCTACCAAAAGCCAGAGTCATTTATTAATGACACCAAGTGACCTTTCCTTCACAGTGCTCTAGGTCTTGGGTTGGGTGGTAACAAACAAAACAGCCTGGAAATCTGCAAAGTGAACGGAGAAATCAAAGCCATCATCTCCTAAAAGTCTGCTTGGGTAAAGCTGTAATTGACAACTTTGGGACGACAGTTGTAACTGCCTCTGTTGTCAACTAAAACATCTTAATTCTTGGCTTTTGAGTCTTTCACAATTTTTGGTGGCTAAAGCATTACCTCTGCTATAGAGAAGGGTGCTGGAGAGTAGAGGCAATCTGATCACGCACAACTCTATTACAGAGCTGGCAATTCACCTTACTTAGATTGCCATATTTCTGCCTGCTGCCTTGACTCCTTCCTGGAAGGCTTGGAGGGTATGACCCCTTGTGTGGTGTGCTCCTGTCGCTGCCAGGAGCTCTGAATGCAATCCTGCTGGAAGAGGGCTGGTGAACACCAAGAGTGTCAGTAGCACAAGCAGCACAATGAGTAAGGCATGCAGGAACTGAAGATGCCACAGGCCCATTTATGTACTTTGATGGCACTTTAGATTGCCTTGAAGTAGGGAGTCTTTGTGCACGGTTAACTCTCAGTGCATTCCTTCCCTGCTGTTGCAGACCCCTCCCTTTCACATCAGCTAAATCCTTCTCAGCTTCCTTTTCTACCCCCCCTCTCCATTCAGCAAAGGCTCCAACTTTTTATGAGCTCCATTTTACCCCAGCTTTAAATAATGAAACTCAAACATGTTGGCCAGACTGTTGCATATTACCACTTATTCCACTTTTTCTGCTAACATTTGTGTGAAACAAACTCATTTTATATTTTGTACAGTGAAGTAGCATTAGGCTGGTGATCTAAGCAATGCAGATAAATCCATGTAGAATTCAACAGTTATTGGCCAGAATTACTAATACTGCAGCTAAGCAGCCAGAGGTAGTAGTTGTAACTACAGTAGCACAAAACAAGAGCCAAATAATACTGGAGATAATCTAATCCTGCTGTTTACTCCTCATCGTGGTCACAGTACTCAATCATTTTAAAAGATGCCCTTACATGCATGCTACCTTCTTTCCTGTCAGCACAAAACCGCATTCTCCTCTTTCTCAACAACTGATTTTTGCCAAAGATTAAACTTTAATCCAGACATTTTTGTCTTCTGACCTCCCCAGCTGAATTGTGACCTCACAGCAAGAAGATCCCTGCTTAGGTTGCAGTTCCTTTTCTTACGTCAGATAGGAAAGAACTCAACCACGTATTAAAATAGGAGTGTGCGCTAAGTACTCGCTCAGTTTCCTATAGTCACTCCAGGGGCTTTGAGGCAACAATTCCTACCCGATCCAAAGAGAAGGAGCACCTTTCCCCTCGCAGCACAAAATTAGGAGTAACATTTTTTTCCTGTGAATTAGAGCTAAATGTGAGTCAAATTCCAAGGTTGAATTCTCTGGTGAAGGTAATGTTTCGTTGTGATAACTGCAGGTCTCTGGGGGTTTTTTTTAATATCAATTTCTGAACTGAAAGTTCTCCATAAAACTTATCTTCATTCTTTCACTTCCTCCAGAAGAAACAAGAGGAACAGGGTACAAATAGAAATGGTAAAGAATGCAGATTTGTTTTCTTCTTGTACGAGGCAAATCCATAAAGTGTAAAAGTTGAACTATCTTTGTATCAGCAGCATGTTGGTTTAGTGCTTTGATGTACACTTCCAAATTAATAGAGCCATGCTGCTGCTTACAGCTGGACATCCCCACACCCACCAACCTGAGTCACAAACTCTCTCAAACTAAGCCCAGGGTAGAGAGAAAGGACTGTTTTTGCTCATTTAATGCCTTCAGACCAGAAATGCTTATAACGTAATATACTATAAGTCAGTTTGTGAAAACCCTAAATACACTCTTCACTATATAGGCAGAAGCATGCAAACAAAGGCATACTACACCACCATTCATATTCTTGTCAGTACACAATTAGAGCTAACACTATTTTCAAATAAGACAAATAAGATACTTTCTATGAAAGCATATGTCTATATTTCTTTTAACTGAAGATTTACAGTGACATACACTAATGATGTGCCTTTTTAGATGAACCATCACCACTTATAAATCACATCAATTGTTGCTCTACCAACTGTACCGAAATGTCTTAAAAATCTTCTTCAGTGAAGTTAAAAAATGTTACATAAGTAGGTGAAATTCCTCCTGAAGTGTTTTTATTCTTAATTTTGCACAGATGGAACAAAGATGGAAACTCAGCTTCATAGCCTCTATAAGTTTTTTGAAGTTACAGAAGCTACTGACATCTTCCACTTTGCACAAGCAAAGCACTCACCTACTGTTTAAATATTCCCATTTTCCAAGTAGCACTTTCCACTTAGCAGCAGCACTACAAGATGCATTTACTCAGAACAGCTGATGAAAATACCTTGCATTTAAACGAGATGAAATTACAACTTTGCTTTGTTTGTAAGTTAAAGCAGCCCCCAAATGCTGTCATTAATTCTCTGAGACTGTGCAACACGGTGTCAATTGCTGAATGTTTAACAAGTCAAAAACAAGGAGGTCATTGCTAACTGTGAACATAGTCACATATGTACATACATGAAACAAAGAAAGGCTTATATACAGATTTAACAGATTCACTCTGGATTTCTTACTTAAATCTTCTAGGAAAACCAGTACGATTTATTAGTTTCAGTTATCTGACATACTTACAGGGCACACTGCAATTTTTGGACCACCTTTTCTCAATGCTGTATTACACCACATATACAGACTCCCCTATAGTAGGACTACGAATTGCTTCTTTCATTGCCAGTTTGTTTTTTTTCTGGATCAAAAGAACTGCCTTCAAATAACATTTTGTTTCTCATTCCTTCTTTAAGCATTCTTTGCCGAATCCTCTGTTGGGCTAAATTGTACCTGCAGTAAAACCTAGAAAGAGAGACAAACAGAAAATGGGATTCACTCCTTTTTAATGTGTATGACAGTATCAAATCAGTGTTATTCAGCCAGCTGAAAAGTTGAAACCATACACAATATTGGCAGACATCATCATAAAATAACACTTAAAGAAAATACCAAGGTACCTGATATTTCTTTAAGGCAAACATTACTCAGCCATTGAGAAGGAGAACATACAATATACAATTCCAATGGAAAATTCTCAGTTTTACAATTTGGACCTTAACCTCACAAACATTTAGTATGCTGCCTTCCCAGGGCAGAAGAAAAACCAGTTGTTTTCTGTTTGTTTTCCTTCTTATACAGAAATAAGAATTCAAAGACATGGACTTTTTTTCCCTTTAAAAAAAAAAAAAAAAAAGTCTGGGAAAGAAAAAAGAGGATACTTTGCTAGGTAGGTTATTTTTTGTGTTTCAAAAACAGTGGGTAAGGTCACAGAAGGATTGCATTGTACAAAGCAGCCAAAGGTCTGCCAAAATTCAAGGAGCATTTTACATACCAGTATCCTAACATTGTGCAAATAAAGCCACCGACTGCAAAGTCACAAGATCTTCTTACTCTACCTGAAACAAAGACAAAAATGCTAAAAAAAATAGAGAAATAGCTCGGGTGACTTCCCATTATTCATAAAGTCTAACAGAACAAATGAATGAATTTATCTTTAAGAATCAACACATGAGAAGATAAAGAAGGTGTACTTACTAGTTGCTAAAAAGTGTCCAAGACCCACAACTAAAGATCCCAGAGAGCCATACAGCACTGATTCTCGTGCACATGGGACATTTTTAACATCAAGAAATCCTAGGAGCTTGAAGGACTATAAGGAGGGAAAAAAAAAAAAAAAAAAAAAAAAGCACAAATTAATATTTCAATGAAAAAATGACTTTGGTAAACTTCTACCATGCCAGTTTCACACTGAAACTGACTCAGCAGTCAACAATAAACATTGGAGGATTCCTTGCTTCCAAGGATCTATTTATATTTGAACAAAAACAATTTATATTTGAGCAAAAGGTGAATGTGCACAGCTCCATCAAGCATTGTTAGGAAAGAGTCAGCAATTGATTTATCATTTGTTCATTTTGTACATCATTTTGTATAAGCCTGGTGATCTATCATTCCTATAGAAGATTATAAAAGAACTACTTCATTTCTTCCTTTATATTCCCTCCCTTAGAAAGGGAAGGGAGAAAACTCATAGGAACCCAGTTCTGTCCAAAACCAACTTACATCAGGACAGACAGGTAAGGTCACAACCAACTAGGTAAGGTTATGCTGTGTCATTTTAATAAGTGAAAAAGTAAATGTGTTTAAAAGTAGATTAAAAAAAAAAAAAAAACTGAAAGAAATTACCGGAAAAGATGCAGATACCAGAGAATCTTATCTGAATAAAAGCACCATTCTTATCCTAATCCTATGTATAGGCACAGGCTGTTCAGGTAAATTCCTCTGTATACCACGCATAGGTTCTTAAATGAACCTACTGATAAAAATTACTCAAATTAAGCCATACGCTCTTTCCAGTTATAACCTATACTGGCTTTTATATGCCAATTTTCTATTTAACCTTCAAATGGCAATTCCATGTGGCATTCATAAACACAACTGTGAACTGACAAATCCATTTTTAATTTCACAGATGCCTACGTTGGCTCCAGCACATTCTAAGTCTCCTAATTTGAATACCACTTGTATCTCTCACCCAATAGACATCCTCACATGTGCACAAAACCTGGAATGGGAAACTACCTCTATACAGGCTTCCAAGCAACACGGTCAGAACTAAGGTACGTGAACAGGTTGCCCAAAGAGGCTGCAGATGTTCCCTCCCTGGAAGCATGCAAGGCTAGGCTGGATGGGGCTCTGAGCAACCTGGTCTGGTGCAACTTAAAGCAAGGGGGTTGGAACTAGATCATCTCAAGGGTCCCTTTCAACCCAAACCATTCTATGATTCTATTAACTAGAATAAATCTGCTTTTTTCTCATTCATCTGTTAGATTTTGAAGATGGAACGCTGTAGAAAGCCTCATGGGAAAGGCCGGCAGCTCTGGAAGGAGGTCAGCATCAGTGTGACACAGCATGGCTGTGCTAACAGGGACACAAGCATGTGCCAGCAGCTGGATATGCGGGCGGGTAAGGGAATCCCCACCAGTAACTGTGCCTGTGCCCTCTGTGGACAACCACCCTGCCGCTCAACGTAATCCCTGCGTATAAGTGAGTCAGAAAGGATTTGGTCTATATCGGTCTAATCTGCTAATGAATAATTTCAAGCACTCCCTTATGGAAGAGGTCATCCGATACACTTCTGTTGTTGGCTACGAAGGTACGGTGCTACATCTGTGCTGCATGAGGCACCCTTTTAAAATAGTCCTTCACCTGTTGCCCTACTGAAATCATCCGCTGCGGCTCCAGCCACTGCTAACTGCTGGGGACACAAAGCTCGAGCGGCATGGCAGCTTCCCCAAAAGGAGAAGGCTCGACAGAAGAGCAGGCAAAAAAAAACAGACAACCAAAAAAAAAAAGAACAAAATAAAACCAAACCCAACCAACCAACAACAACAAAACAATCCCCCCAAAACTACGCAGTCCTTCCTAACCCGGTTCCATTCAGCCTCCCCTCTGCCCTGATCCCCGCTCTGATCACGGCGCAGTGACCGCTCTCCATGTCCCGCTCAGCAACCGCTTCCTCAGCACTCAAACCCGGGGCACGCCTCAGCCGAGAGCCGGCACCGGAGCGGAGCGAGGCGAGGAACACCCGCCGCTTTCCATTACCTTCTCCGGCTCAGAGTCGCCCTCGCCCGCCATGCTGCGACAGCGCCGCGCCGGCCGCGCACCACCGAGAGCGGGCTGGGGCCGTGTAGAGCAGGCACGAAGAGCGGCCGCTCTAGCCGCCGCGTCTCTATGGTGCCCGCGCAGGGAGCGGGGGCGGGCGAGAGCGCCGGCGCCATTTTAGGTCTAGCGCTGAGATTCCAGCAAAATCCTTTGTTCGGTGAAATGGGTCACGGAGCAGGGGGCGCGCGCGCGTGCTCGCACCTAGAGGGCGGGGGCACGCGGGCGCGCAGAGGGAAGTGAGCGAGCGCGGCGCTGGCGTCCGGCCCGACCTTCCCTACGGCGCACCTCCGCCCGGTGCGGCCGGCGGCTGAGGGACCCACACCCCGAAACGTCCCGTCCCCGCCACGCGCAGGGCGGCCCGTTCTCGCTGCTAGCGCTTCCTGGAGCTGCCCTGCCGCTGACCTAAGCTGCTACCAGAGCTGTGCTGTTTGGCGGTGCCGCGTACCGCCCGCCCTTAGCGGGCCGCTCGCTTTTTGTTGGTGTTTGGAACGGGACGACCACACACACAACCCTTTAGCGGCCCTGCGCCGACTCCCTTGTGCTGTCGGTCCTTTATGTAGAGGGAGAGTGACGCGGCTCCTCGTGCCTCCCCCTGCCTTTGCTGTACCATAAATCCTCGAGTATAGGCCCCCCCACGTCCAGCGGCCGAAGGAGCAGAGCAGGGCTGAGGAGCGAGAGGAAACGTGGCAAACGCTCCGGAGCGCCGAGGTGGAGGTGGATCAGGCTGCCTGTACCTCTGCCATAGCCGGCAGCTGGAGCGGGCTGAGGGTGCCGGCCAGGGCGGTAACGCAGTGCTGGAGGACATCGGGAAATGGTAGACTGGGGAAGACCGGGCTGAATTGTTGCACTATGTGCTTTTTTGAAAGAGGGCTCGTTTGGCTCGTTTACAACTAAATCACACGAGTAATGCAAAGTGGGGGTAAATCGAGTTAGCCTACTAGAAGTAATGCCTCAGACGTATAATTTTACCTGTGGCAAGATCTGAAAAGGTAAATTGTAGAATCGTAGAGTCATAGAATGGTTTGGGTTCGAAGGGATCTCAAAAGCCCACTCACCCCAACACCTTGCCATGGGCAGGGCTGCCCCTCACCAGCTCAGGCTGCCCAGGGTGCCATCCAACCTGCCCTTGAGTGCTTCAGCAGCCACAGCTTCTGAGGGCAGCTGTGCCATCAGCTGTCTGCCCTCTGAGTAAACAACTTCTACATAACATCTAGCCTAAATCTCCCCTCAAATAGCTTTGAGCCATTCCCCCATTGTCCTGTGACTTACTACCTGTGTAAAAAGTTGATTTCTCTCTTATTTATAAGCTCCTTGAAGTACTGGAAGGCCACAATAAGGTCTCTCAGGAGCCTTCATTTTTTTGGGGCTGAACAAGACCATCTCAGTCTATCATAAAGAGGGGTGCTCCAGCCCTCTGATCATCTCTGTGGCCCTCCTCTGGGCCAGCTCCAACAGTTCCAAATCTTACTGTATCAGCAAACAGATACTGATACAGGTTCCTACCTCCTAAGTAGTGAACCACCCCCGAGAGTCAGTTTAGGGCTTTTTATATCTCAGCTATGAAGTAAAACAAGGATGAAAGATGTGAAATAAACTGCACTTTCATTTAAAATAAATAGTGTGTTTTGAAATACATTACTTTCCTCAGTGGAGTTAGATATCTTCAGGTCTTTTATAATATTTTTGGATGTATTTCGTTCTTTATGTTGGATAGAATGGACTTTTGCACTCAGTGGAATTCAGGTTTATTTGAGCATTATGTTTTCAGGATTCAGGATCCTTTCACACAGAACGAATTTATATATAATCTGTTGAAAAGTGCTGTTCTACATTTGCGTAGACTGCTTGAAACCTTTGGTTGATAGATCAGAAACAGGTCTCAATCCTTTCCACTGGTCCCAACTCTATAATTGTTTTATTATCTCTGTAGCCATGAGATCATGCTCAGAAATCATGGAACGAACAGATCCAATACATCTACAGTTTTAAAAGGACGAGTAAATCTCACCAGAATGGTGAGTTGTTAATACCTTTTTATCCTTAATGTAATTTATATATGTACAAACATAGGATAATTATTATAATAAAATGTGGAAAACAAAATAATTGGCATAACCTCTTCTTCAAAGTTGTAATATATGTTTTTATCTTAGTTGGTTTAAGAAACTCATATAATTGCATGTTATTACACAGCTACAAGCACTGAAGTGTATAGTAAAAATTCACACGAGTATGCTAATGCATCTGAAATTAACAGGGCCACAGCATTGAAGGCACTGCTTTTATTGCTGATTACTTGGCCTGGCCTGCACAAGTTAATATTTTGAAGGAGATGAATGAAAAAATCTGATTTTTTGGCTTTAAAACAGAAAATTGGATTTGGAATGAATGTACTATAGACTAGAGTACACAAATAGAACATCCTCTGTCTGATAGTCAAGAACAGGCAGAGAAGAAGCAGATATACCTCTTTTCCTAACAACATACCTTACACTGAAATACCCACTGGCAATAAAATTCAAGCTTTTTGCTCTCTGTTTGATGCTTTGTCTTTGCTCTGCCATACTGCTGCATATCATAGCTCTGCTTCTTCTGTTTTAGAAGTCATCCTACGATTAGTAACTGTTGTCCTTTGTGGAATTACAAGTAGACAGAGGGCTGCTTGGCATTGCTTGAGATCGGTGAGGATGTGTGAAATGGAGCTTCCTTAGCTTGAAAGTGGAGGGGCTGCTGATGTGACACCTACAAACAGCATCGCATGTGTGGTTCACTTTCCTTTCTTGTCTGTTTTGACCTGGCAACTCAGGGTGTGTGGTGAAGCAGGACAGTGTCCTCAGACCCTTAAGGAGGGCAGTGCTTCAGACCTGCTTCTTTTCTCCTGACTTGTTTTAGAGACTGGAAGAGAGAGCTTCTTTTCTCATCCTGGGTTCATATAAAAATAAGCCATTTTTAAAATAAAATTTATTCTAGTGACTGAATCTGCTAGTTGATAAAAATGGCTGTTAAAATCCTATTTTTACTAGACCATAAATATTTTTTGTTACAATTTCAGTCAATTCTGATGAATTCAAAGTATCCAAAGTATGAAGAACTTTATTACTTTTTTGAGCAGTTTATATCATGTCTGGGGTAAATGTGAAATGAGTCTACCTTGATTCAGTATTACCAGACCAATACTTGGCAAAGCACGCAGCATTATTTACTTGCAGTGACAACAAATGAGCAGTGTGCAGGCATGCAGTAGTTGCATTTATAGGGTACAGGAAATGTGAAAGCTGATGAAATATGCCCTCTGATTTGCCAAAATGATCTGCTGCAAGGGCAGCACTGAGCTTCTCCTAAATACTTGATAGCACTGACCCAGCAGAGGCACAACCCAGAGTATCTGCCCTTGTACCCTGCAAGTGAGTCCTACAGGGAGGGAGGCAGAGCAAGAGCATTGGCATACCAGCCTTCCTCCACGGGTAGCAACAGTATGCCATTTCTGGAAGCCATGCATCATGCATGCATTTGGAATTGCTGGTTTTTGGTTTTCTTTCCTTAAAGACATGGCTGATATGGAAAGATACTTTTCCTTACGGACATTATTCTTTGATGCCTATGCATGCTCAGTTTTATCCATAATAGCATGCTGACTAACACTCTTAGAAACTTGAGCTTTTCCTACATTTGTGCAGCCTATATTTTCATTAGTTGATGAAAAATTCATAGCACCCTTTGTTGTTAAGCTGGAAATCTACCCACTCGTCCTTGAAATTCCTAGCTTGGAAGTGTTTTGGATCAGTTTTAGTGGTTTGGGTTGGTCTTTGGCAACCATCCTGCTTCTGGCCCATTATCCCTCACCTCTGTACATAAAGACCAGGCCACACAAGACTCTTGTCATTTTAGCAGTGGCAAACTGGCCACCACTTACTGCATATAGAGCAGTGGAATAAAAGTACTCCTGTCATACAGTGCAACCAGGAATCTGTCTTGTTGACTTCTTCCATGTTTATTTCACAGAATCACAGAATCACCCGGGTTGGAAGGGACCCCAAGGATCATGTAGTTCCAACCCCCCTGCCTAGCAGGGCCACCAAACATACACATTCAGATCAGGTTGCCCAGGACCCCATCCAACCTGGCCTTAAACACGTCCAAGGACGGGGCATCCACAACCTCCCTGGGCAGCCCATTCCAGGGCCTAACCACTCTCCTTGTAAAGAACTTCCCCCTAACATCCAACCTAAATCTTCCCTCCTTCAACTTAAAACCATTTCCCCTAGTCCTGCTGTTGTCAGCCCTTTTGAAGAGTTTACTCCCCTCCTGGGTGTAGGTTCCCTTCAGGTATTGATAGGCTGCAATGAGGTCACCCCGCAGCCTTCTCTTCTCCAGGCTGAACAAGCCCAACTCCCTCAGCCTGTCCTCATAGGGGAGGTGCTCCAGCCCCCTGATCATCTTAGTCGCCCTCCTCTGGACCCTTTCCAAAATCTCAATGTCTTTCTTGTACTGAGGGCTCCACACCTGGACACAGTACTCCAGATGGGGCCTCACAAGAGCCGAGTAGAGAGGGACAATCACCTCCCTGTCCCTGCTGGCCACCCCTCTCCTGATGGAGCCCAGGATCCCATTTGCCTTTCGAGCTGCCAGAGCGCACTGCTGGCTCATATTCAGTCTCTCGTCCATCAGGACCCCCAGGTCCTTCTCTGCCGAGCTGCTCTCAAGGACCGCTCCTCCCAGCCTGTACAGGTGCCTGGGGTTCTTCCGGCCCAAATGCAAAACCTTGCACTTTGCCGTGTTGAACCTCATCAGGTTCACCCGAGCCCAGCCCTCCAGCCTGTCGAGGTGCCTCTGAATGGCATCCCTTCCTTCCACCGTATCAACCACACCACTCAGCTTGGTCCTTCATCATGCTGAGTGCTTTCTTGAATGGTCAGAACCTACTTAGTCTCATCACCACTGGTCACGAGGGGAGGCGCATGTTTGCTCTTTTGAGAGCAGTGCAGATTTAGCTTGAGTGCCTGAAGTTGTTCTGTCACAGGTGTTGTTAGGTAGCA